AACTCAAGGGTTACCGGTACTCACAAATATGTCGCACTAATATAGCTATTGCTTAGACCGTGTCGGTATACCCCGCACAGTTTCCACAACGTATTGCTACCTATGAATGTTTCCCAAAATCCGGGTGGTAGGATTGCAAACCCAAACAATAGAGCCAAAGTATAAAGCAAGCAAATCAAACAATTAGTCATGCAAGAGGGTGATCTAAGCCCTAAGGTTACTCCACTTTTAAAATTGTCCCCAGCAGAGTCGCCAGTTCTGTGATACGGTGGGAGAACTGACTAGGGTTTTGCGTTTGTTTTCGCAAATGTTTCGGTTGAGCAAGAGTCGCCACCGACTTTTTATTTTATCCTAAGGAAAGGTTTAAAAAGCACAGCAAAAACCTTTGAGATTTTTCTTGGGTTCGGGGAGTAGATTATAGAAAGGGAAGGTATTAGCACCCTTTCTATCCATGGTTATCCATGGGCTCTTAGGTACTTGCTTAGATCAACTTGCCTTGGTTTTCAATTGTTTGAAATGGTGCTTAGTGTGTGATTTTGAAAATGTTTTGAAAAGATGCTTTGTATAGGCTACCCTTGTAACAATTCTTTACTCGAATGTTTTACAAAAGGTGTTTTGTCTTTAGAAAAGATGTTTCAAGTTTTTTTTGAAATTTGGTTTTGAAAGTGTTTGTGAAGTGGGTTTTGAAAATAGGCAAGTGTTTTCTTGGAAAATTGACAAGTACTTAAGAGTTATCTACCCTAAAGTTTTCTCAAAGATTTTTGTTATGTTTTAAATCCTTTTGACAATTTTGTTCCACCATTGCATTTGGTGGACAATCTTGTCTTAGGAGGTGAAAGGGACGGGCGCGGGTCATCGTTTAGACCATAATTGCAATAGTGTTAAATGTCTTTGGGCAATTTTCTTTAAAAGGGAATTGATCATTCATTTGAGCAACATTTTGTGGGACTATGATCATTTGATTGTTTGTTTTTACCCAAAGAAGTTCAACATGCAATATGGCCCAATTATTTGAAGGCAACAAAGTGGAATACCCTAGGGGTGCAAGTGTGAAATGTGTTGTCCATTTTCATGCTTATTTGTCTTGTATTAGGTCAAACTACTTTGTTCGTTTTATTCGCATTCAAACCCTAATTCTAGCATGGTATGTTTAGAAAGCGTATAAAGTGCGAATTTTAAATTCCTACACTATTACAACACAATAATATGGGGAGGGGGGTACAAATTGTTCAAATGGGGAGATATTTAGACAAGAAATTGAATCTAAGCTATTACATCATTTGCTTTGAATATTTACAATATGATTAAAAGCATAAATAAAATAGAAATAGAACAAATATGCAAGAATACAAAAAGGGTTTTTATATGTATGAAAAAAGTATTATTTATGTAATAATAAAAAAAAATAAAAGGGTATTATTTTGAAGTATTTTTCAAATTTAGGGTAAAAACCCTAATTTTTAATCAAAGGGGTATTAATCAATTATTTATTATTTACATACAAAAATAAGATAAAATATGGTATATTTGTAAAAAAGGGTATTTTTTTTAGTATTAAATATTAAAAATAAAATATGTACATTTTTTGGTATTTTTATCCTAAGTATATTAATATATACCTATATATTTATATTATTTACAAAACATATATTATATATATTAATTAATAATATTTAATATTTAAATAAAAAGTATTTTTTTATAATATTTTCAGGAAGTAAAAATAAGATAAAAATGTGTATAAAAATATATTTTGTATTATCTTAATATTTTAAACAAAAAAAGTATATATATATATATATATTTATTTATTTATGTACAAAACAAAAGAAACAATCAAATAAATACTCAATAAATTCAAAAAATGATGAGAAAAATATTTTTATGTTTTTAATATGCTGAGATAAAATAAATGAACCAATCAAAAAAAGGCAAAAGTCAAAAATATTAAAAATGAATGAAATGGGCTCAGGGGTGTAAAACCAAAAAGGGTGGTGTGAAAAGGAAAGTCAACATAGGCCCAGCCCATGAAGACCTTTCTTCAACCTCTGTACAACAATATTCAAAAAACGCGCGCCCTGTACTCCATCTTCTAACTCCTGATTCCTGGCTTTTCAATGAAAACTCATAACATAAAAAATGTTCAGCATGAAGAGACGAATCCAACCATATGCATAACTTGATCTAACTCTCTAAGATGAGGGAGAATTTCTCCTCCCCCAAATACTAACCTAGATTTTCTGCCATTTTTAAACCTCAAATTCTCACAGCTCAAGCAAAAGAAATGAAAAGTAAAAACATGTACATGTTCAGTGGCATGAGTAGAACATTGTTTATTCACAAACTTAAAGCTAATGATGCATAATAAGAGAGATACGAGTTCACCAAGATACCTGTTCAGCTGAAGTTCTATCTGGCAATGAGGGAGCTTTCAGGGCAAGGTGATGATTGGAAAAGCTTCCTTGAGGTCCAGGGATGCTATTCCAATGTTTACTTTGTCTTGAGAGCTTCTGGATCGTGCTAGAGCACCTCACCTGCAAAACAAGAAACTGAAAATGGTGGAAGTGGTTAGAGTGATTACAGGTCGTGTTTTTGCTTTTGGTTAGCTTGCATAGATGGTATGGAAGGTGTGTGAACTGGTTTGGGCAAGAAAGCTTGAGAGAAATGAAAGATGACACTCAAACTGCAGGCCTTGCCCTGTTTTTGCAGTTTGAGAGTGATTATGGCCAGGGGAGTGTTTGAGAGGTGCTAGGGTCGTGCAAAAGCTTGGTCCTGATCTTTGGAATGTGTTTGATAACTTTGTCTAAGTGTGTGTAAGCTGAGATGGAAGTTGGTGTGAGTTATGGTACTTTTCTTCACTCTTAAGCAAACAAAGGCAACTTGGTCTTTTAGGCAAGTAGGGGGGCCTCTAATGAGCTGCATAACCTCTCCTTGATCAGAGTGATTTGTCCATAATCTTGTGCCAATTGGATTTGGTTTGTACTTGTTGGATTTGTAATTGGACATAAAGTGAAACTTTTGCAAAAATAGAAAGAATGCTTTATCTAATTTGGGATTAATCCATCATACAATGCTTTAGCTCATGAAACAAGGTCTTAACACAATGAACATGCATTAAATTATTGAGTGTTGGATGGTTTTAGGACCTGTAATCAAGGGCATGCTGGTTTTGAGAAGTTTGCACAAACTATGAACATGAAAAATAGCCAATTCAAAAGTGAGTTTTTGCCATATTGTGAAATTCGATTCTCTCAAGTTATGAGGTTGTTTGATGAGTTCTTGGACATTTTGGAAAGCTTGGAATGTGTACTACAATCCATCTTTGAAATGCAAACTGAAATTCCAAGTGGAAGTGTATGGAAAATGGCCTTGAAGTAGGGTAGAAAACCTTGTCAAAATAGGTCAAAAATTCACTAAGTTAAGAATGGTTTAGTGCCCTTATTAAAAACTTTGTAACTTGAGATACAAGCCTCAAATGGGAAAACTTTGTGAATCAAAGTTGTAGATTATGAAACAAGCTACAACTTTCATGTTTTGACTTTTGTTTGAATCCAAATGGATCTTGGTGAAAAAGTGGGGCAAAGTTGGGAAAAAAATTAGGGTTTTTTATAACTTAGAAAAATTTTAAGTTATGAAAAATTCAAATTTCTAACCCTAATTTGCCTTTTGTGATTTCTTGGTGAACAAGTTTCATGATTTGGCATGTTTTTGATGAAAAATGAATCTTGACTCTTGATTTTGACCAAAAAGTCAAAGTTTGACTTTTCAGTATACAGTCAAAATTGATCAATTGACTGGGAAATTCAACTGTCAATCTTGTGTACTTGGGATCTTTTGAGTTTGTTGAACATGTCAAGATAATTCCATGGGGTCCTTGAGTCCATATATGAGCTTGGTTTGCCATTGGCTAGGTCAAATAGTCAAAAATTGCCTTTGTGCAGTCAAAACCCTAAAAATGACCATTTTGCCCTTTTGGTGATCTGATTAAATTTCTTATGGAATTGTGATCCAAACTTGATCAAATGGTCCATATGAGTTCATAATGTTGATGTGGGTCAATTTTCACGAGGTTTGACTGTCAATTGGCCACAGTTGACTTTTTCCCCAATACAGCTGATTTTTAGGTCAACTGTCCAATTGACTGGGCAAAACTTGGAACTAAGGCTTGAAACTTGGTATGGGTAAACTTGGGAGTCCAATGTGAAGCATGAAAGTCATTTTAAGCATTTTAGGTCAAAACATCTTGGTGCAAACACAAACCCTAATTTGGGTCACCAGTGCAAGGAGAGGTCTTGAGTAGATGAGACCCTGACTGGATCTTGGGCTTCAAAGTTTTTGTGATGAGAAATCATTGAGAAATGGGAGGGCAAATTTTGGGGTACAACACCTACTACTAGATTTTTTGCATTGAGAAAAATTTCAAAGATCAAGTAACACGGGAAACATTAAAAGTGGTAAAAGCTATTACATCATGTTGAGGTCGTGCTCTTCAATGATGAAAATGGAGGTCTCAACTTCATTAACCTTTATGTTGTTTCTATGACATTTTAAACAGGAATAGAGAGATATTTTATCCGTAGATAAAGAAGAGGAGCCACACCAGGAACTTCTACTGTTACTTTGATCGGATACTTCCTCCCTTGATTTCTTCACCACAACTTTCCAAGAAACCCCTCTGCACGCTAGTTGATGATCTGGGTATTGTCAATGGGGTTTTAAGAGTCACCGACACAATTAGTTTCTTTAGTTTAAATCGTAACTTGTCTATCATGTTCGCAAGTTCCGATATGAACCGCTCTTCACGCTTTATGAGCTTTAACATTGTAAGCACTATCAAGGTAAGCATTATAGAACTTCTCATGAACTGGGGTAGATTATCCAAGATAAAGTTACGACCACCATCCAAAGAGATAACTTAACCACGATTTTTGAATGCTGGAATTTCCGACAATGGAACAGAAACAATTCAAACATTACCTCACACAGCTAAAAGAGCAGTCATGTTGGTTAGAATCAAAAAACTGCTTCAAGGATATTCAGGAATAAGATTTAAAATCATGAAGGAGATGAATGGACTTACCGATGAGTCTAAGTTTGCAGCATTAAAAGGAAATGATTTGTTGTTACATCAACTGCTAAAACGAGGTTTAGATCCAAATGAATCTGACAACAATGAAAGAACAACACTGCATATAGCAACATTTAAAGAAAAAGAAAATTGTGTTTTACTTCTGTTAGATTATGGGGCAAATCCCAACATTAGAGATTCAGGTGGAAATATAGCACTATGGGAGGCTATACTTGGTGGACATGAAACAATAACAAAACATTTGGTACGAAAGGGTGCTACCTTGCAAAGTGGTGATGTTGTTGTTAAGGATAGGGATATTTTGAAAATGAACAAGATTACTCGTGTTTTGAATTATGTAGGTTTTGGATTGCAAGAATTGTGAGGCTAGCTTAGCACCTCCCTCCTATGCAATTCAATTTAATTTATGGAATATTGTTCTATTCACAGTAATAAATTTTATATTAGGGATAAGACTTTTCTTTGAAGTATTCAAATTTGTGCCACATATACTCTTTGATAGCAGTATCATTACTTGACAAGCAACTATACTAATTGCTACTAGCTTTATTGCAAGTTTAGACATATAAAGATAGAGCTAGTTTTGTCAACTAGTAAGGATTCAACCTGTTACATTATTGAGGAATTTTCAACTTTTCCTTTTAATTTTAGTTAGTGTTCTATTATATGTGTGTTTTATCATGCAAGATTGGTTCAATGTTATGGAAATGGTTTCAAGAAAAAATTTAAAGGTCTACACCCAAGTTAGTTTTTCAAATGGAAATGGTTTCAAGAAAAAATTTAAAGGTCTACACCCAAGTTAGTTTTTCAAACACAACTTTTCGAGACAACATTGACACATATCTTTGGAAAGAAATATTTCTAGTTACTCAAGTTGTAACGATTAAATTGTTTCAGTTTAAGAGATGAGATTGGGGAAAAAGAAAAAAAATTGTGACATTATTGTTATAATTTTGAGGACAAGATTGTTCTTGAAATGATGAGTAATGATAGAGAGTAAAATTGTAGTTAAACAAATGAGTGAGAGATGAAATTAAATTAGAATATTTAGTAAATTTTTTATTTCACCTCATGTTTTTTTAAACACTATGCGAAATTCTTTAAATGTTTTTCAAAACTCGAAGTATATTACCGGAGTATACCCCCACACACAAAATTAATTTGTTTTTGAATTTCATTTTATTTTAAGATAAAATTTATTTCGAAAATACACTTCTAGTAATTGTATACTTCATGTTATTAAACATAATTGTAATTTTAGTATATCAACATTAGACGTATCAAATGGAAACAGAATTGGCATAATGGAAACCTCGTTGAGCAGGTTTGCAATGATCATGGATTCTGTTCAAAGTAATGTAATGCAAGTTAACAAAAGAATAAAGGAAATTAATGTTGGGTATCAGAATAATATTTAATAATAATAACAATAGCACAAGTAAAATTTGAGAGTTGAGTGTAGGAATAAGAAGAAATACAATTGTAGCAAACTCTTGGATGATTAGGGTGATTATGAATTACAATATGATTACTCTATATATAATAGTTTCATATACTATTATAAGTAGATACTTATTATTGGATTCTACGTAATCTTCTCTACATCATAGAAATCAATGACTTATAATGCATTGAATTCTAATACAAAATAAAGATTACTTTATGTCCTCACAATCTCCCACCAGAAGGTTTTGAAGAAAAAGGAAAAGAAAACTTGGTTTGCAGGTTGACCAAATCTCTGTACGGTTTAAAGCAGGCGCCGAGGTGTTGGTACAAGAGATTTGATTCTTTCATTATTAGCCTTGGATACAACAAGTTGAGCTCAGATCATTGTACATATTACAAGAGGTTTGAGGAAAATGCTTTCATCATTTTGTTGTTGTATGTGGATGACATGTTGGTGGTAGGCCCCAACAAAGATCAAGTCCAAGAATTGAAGGCACAATTGGCTAGGGAGTTTGATATGAAGGATTTGGGACCAGCAAACAAGATTTTAGGGATGCAAATTCACCGAGATAGAAAAGATAGGAAGATTTGGCTTTCTCAAAGAAATTATCTACGAAAAGTTTTGCGGCGCTTCAACATGCAAGACTGTAAGTCAATATCTACCCCACTTCCTATCAATTATAAATTATCCTCAAGTATGAATCCTAGCAATGAAGCGGAGAGGATGGAAATGTCTCGAGTACCCTATGCATCAGCGGTGGGAAGCCTTATGTATGCCATGATATGTACAAGGCCAGACATTGCACATGCAGTGGGAGCGGTCAGTCGGTTTATGGCAGATCCTGGTAAAGAGCATTAGAATGTTGTGAAGAGGATTCTGAGATACATTAAAGGAACCTCAGATGTTGCGTTATGTTTTGGAGGATTGGATTTTGGTGTCAGAGGATATATTGATTCAGATTATGCAGGTGATCTTGACAAAAGAAAATCTACTACAGGCTATGTGTTTACAATTGCAGGAGGAGCAGTAAGCTGGTTATCCAAATTGCAGACTGTTGTAGATCTATCTACTACAGAAGCTGAGTATATGGCAGCTACCCAAGCATGCAAGGAAGCTATATGGATTCAAAGGTTACTGGAAGAGCTCGGATACAAACAACAAAAAATTATTGTGTATTGTGACAATCAAAGTGCCTTGCACATTGCAAGAAATCCAGCATTTCATTCCAAGACAAAGCACATAGGAGTTCAATACCATTTCGTTCGTGAAGTAGTAGAGGAAGGGAGTGTGGACATGCAAAAGATTCACACAAAAGACAACCTAGCAGATGTTATGACAAAGCCGATCAACGCTGACAAGTTTTATTGGTGCAATTCTTCTTATGGCCTATCTAAAACGTAGCAACATGGAATTAACAAGGGATGCAAATTTTTTGAAAGCAAACAAAATTACTTTAAGTGGAAGATTGTGAGGACATAAAGTAATCTTTATTTTGTAGAAGAATTCAATGCATTATAAGTCATTGATTTCTATGATGTAGAGAAGATTACGTAGAATCCAATAATAAGTATCTACTTATAATAGTATATGAAACTATTATATATAGAGTAATCATATTGTAATTCATAATCATCCTAATCATCCAAGAGTTTGCTACAATTGTGTTTCTTCTTATTCCTACACTCAACTCTCAAATTTTGCCGTCATAATAATTTCAATTAAACCGGCTTACACAATTTCACCGTGAATAATATTTGCAGCGGAATATGGACCAATACCAAATGCTCTGATACCACTGTTGGGTATCAGAATAATATTTAATAATAATAACAATAGCACAAGTAAAATTTGAGAGTTGAGTGTAGGAATAAGAAGAAACACAATTGTAGCAAACTCTTGGATGATTAGGATGATTATGAATTACAATATGATTACTCTATATATAATAGTTTCATATACTATTATAAGTAGATACTTATTATTGGATTCTACGTAATCTTCTCTACATCATAGAAATCAATGACTTATAATGCATTGAATTCTTCTACAAAATAAAGATTACTTTATGTCCTCACAATTAATTTGAAGAGTAAATGACTAACATTCTAATATTGACAATATTCTACTAAGTTTTCGCATGTCTGTCAATTCGTTTGATTTTATACCGATGATTGAATTCTTACATTGCATCCATTTTTAAATTTATAAAGATCTGAGTATTTTGTGGCTTGGTCTTTAATAAATCACTTTTTGAAACTAATATATAATTTGAACTTCTTGATTTGCATTTCAGTGGAGTGCATAAGACAGAAGTTGATCGTGCAGGATAATTCTGAAGTGTATTTTTAGAAATTTATTTTTAGAATAAATTTTATTTTAAAATAAGGTGAAATCATATTTAAACTGTTTTTAAAAATAAATATGGTGTAAATCGAAAATAAATTTCCCATTTTCAAGGGCAATTTTAAAATTGTAAAAGATTTTTCTTTTAGACATGAAGTGAAATAAAAAATTCCGAATATTAATTTAATAAATCTTTTATTTTAAGTGTTATTGAGCTCTTTTTATATTTGGCCTTTTAGATTGATTATCCATTCCGACTATTATATATGAAGAATTTCTTCTTACAAGCCCCCGAGAATTCAAAAATACTCTTCGAATGTGCATATTTAAATGCACCTTACGAATTTGAGATATTGAATTATTTTGGATATGTATATTCGAACAAACTCCTATATTTCATTTTTAAGGAGATTTCGGATATGTATATCTCAAATAACTCAAAATTTCAATTTTTGTTTTAATTTTATTTTAAAAATTTATTTATTTATAATATAGTTATAATATAATTAAATTGTATTATTATTAATAAAGAATAATTTAAGTTTATCATTGAAAACTAAATATTAAAATAAATTTATAATATAAATTAAATAATAAATGTAATAATTAAAATTTCAATTAATGGTGAAATATATATTTTTAAACTTTCTATTTAAAATTATAAATAATTTTTGATAAATAATATAAGAAATATTTTTTAATTATAACTTTAAAAGTTAAATTTAATTTAGATGACACTTTTTAGTTTTTATTATAGAATTGAAAATTAATTATTATGTTGTAATTAGAAAATTTATTATATTAAAAAAATATTTATATAATCAAAAGTTGAATGTTATAATTAATAATATTAAAATAAAATATTTAATATGAAATGAATAAATTTTTGTAAAAAAATACAAATAATTAAAATCTATATTTCCGAAGTCCGAAAGTATTTTGAATTTTTTGTTAGAGGAGCTTGCAAGAAGACACCAAGTGGAAAAAGAAATTTATTTTCTATGAGACATTGAAAAACATGAAATGAATGAAAAAGTCTTTAATTTTATTACTTAATTTTAATTTCGTTATGAATGAAAAAATTTTAGTTTTATTAGTTAGTTTTAATTTCTTTTTATTTCTTACTTCTCTTTAGTTTTGTTATTTTAGCATCCTATCATGAGATATATTTCTGAGTAAATCAATAATGTTTTAGAATTGTCAGATGTGTGCTCTATTGTGTAAAATTGTCGTTAATATTTTCATGGCTATATTACGAAACCCAAATGCAATGAATGGTCTTACGAAAAGTAACGTGGGTCCGTAATCAGTTTCTAAGTAAGTTCAAAACGTCCATCACGCGATGGTTTAATTTAAATACATTCCTAAATAAATCATACATAACATGGAATTTAACATAACTTGTTTCACCTCGACATGTAACTCCATGAAGGGACCCAACAATTATTAGGAACTGACTCTTCGGTTTAACAATAATTAAGAAAACATGTTGGCATTACTAAATTTGAATACCCCACCAATGATTCTTGCTCTGAAAAATACAAAAATAAACAAGTGTGATGAGTTGGTATACTCAACCCCCTCCAGTTTTCCATATCTCATGTTTTCCAGAAATCCTTATCTACTCGGATAGTAACACCAATACATTATTGTAGACACATATACATTGCCAAAATGGTGTAACAACCAAATAATAATTGTACTTGCAAATAATTAGCCATGTAGAGTTGAAACTTGAATGCAATCCCTGTATTTTTTTAAACAAATAAGTGCATGTTTAAAATGAGAGTGAGATAGACAGAATCACGGCGATTGACTGCAATTTTATTAAACTCAGTGCAAATCCAGACATCCACCAAAATGTCTACAGACACTCTAAACACAATATTAACATTACCTGACGATACCAATAATAATTTGAAAAAATAAATAAATTAAACATAATCGCAAATGTCGGTGTCAAATCAACATGGACATACTACATAACTAATATGCCTCTAAGATGCTAGGTATTTTAGAGATGAATTTTAAGTTACATGCTTTAAAGACACCATTCATCCAATCGACCAATCCTGTTTCCAAATAAACTCAGAGGGCAGAACACTGTCTTATATGTTTTTTTTGTGAGGAAAATGATGAAATGCATGGCATGGAGAAAGCCAGTGAGAAACTGCACATGGAGTAATTTTCAAGGATGTGTGTGTGGCCTTAAAAGTCAAAGACATACTCCTAACAACCAGTTTAAATGAGCCATTATTGAGTAACAATAAATCAAACATCGTATTTGTTACTACAATTTTTCACCCAAGGTGAAACATCAAAAATAGTAACTATACCATGTACTGTATGTAAGATCTTTATTGTTTTAGTATATTTAAGACATGAATACAACTTGTACCTAACCTATCTTTCTTTAAATACTGAAATTGCTAGCCAAATGTAAATGACAAACTGCCAGAAAACTCAAGATTCTCCTACAAACAAATCAAACATGGAGGCGTGAACGTGGAGGTTTCAAAAACACCCAAATGAACCAGAACATATCCATAGCCAGGTCACAATCATAAATGACTGATAATTCTCCATTAAAAAATAAAAAACAGAAAGCAAAATAAAGAAACAGATGGGTTTTTATTCACATCATTGGCACCCCAAAACAATCCACTTACATGCAATGCAAGAAAACATTATTCTCAATCTAAGAAATGGCTAAGAATTGAAGATAAATAAAAATCTCAAAAACAAATGTCATCATCATAAATAGCACAGCCAGAGCATTTATCTTTGACACACCAACCGCAAATCACCTCTGAAACAACAAGTAGAGTGAAAGTGGAGAGGTTGAGTTGAGAGAAATAGTGCATGACTCACCATTCACTAACAGCAGCTACGTCATAATCAAAACATGCATTTGATTTGCCACTTTAAATGGACCCCAATTTCTCTTAATCTTAAACAATGCAGCCAAGACCAAGATACAAGTATATGTTGGGAAAGTAGGATACTCCAATCCAATCCAATTCAATCCAATAAATTGGGAATGACATCTGAACTTGAGAAACACAAGAATTGAATTGACTCACTCAAGCTCAGAGAAACAACAAGCTTTCAACCAGTAATTACTTCTTCAACAGCAACAATAACCTATCAGTCAAAACTCAAAACCCACTAAGAAAGTGAAACAGAAGCAATTAACTCAGCTTTCCATCAACATCCAAGCTTGGAGAGCTTTCAACTCAACAATCAAAAACGAATTGTAGCAATGATTAAGGTTCTGAAAACCTATTCCAGCCTCAATCCAATTCATCACAATCCGCCACCACTATCAGATAAATAAAGACCATACTTTTTTCTCTCCTTATGCAAAACCCCAGAATCTAAAACAAATTTGAACATCTAAAATAAAAAGAAGACTAATTAATCAATCTTCCATACCAGAAGGAAGAAAAATCCCTAATTGAATTCCTTGATAGATGGACTTCTCCACTCAAAACCAAAGAACAAAAAAAACTAAACCCTAATTCTTCTACTTTCCACACACATCGAAAAGCAACATCCATAACAACACTGAATAATTATATATACCAAGAAAAAACCACCACCGTCGTCACCACTGCAACTCCACCACAATCAATGATGTTCATCGTCTCTCCGACCGGAATTTCCATGTCCACCAGACAAGGAAGCAAGCAAATTCAAATGTCCAGGAAGATAATTCCCAACTCTAGCAGCCGAAGCTTCTCCCATAGCTTGTTGCTGCTGTTGCTGATGATGATGATGAGCGAAGAAATTCGCTTGATGCTGTTGCTGCTGCTGAGACAAAGACTGAACCATCATTTCCGGTGGAGGAGCAGCAGCAGCCGCGGCAGCGAAGCTCCAAATTTGACCAAAATCAGGCCGGGCAGGTAACGCCCAAAGAGCAGCCGGTGTAGAAAGAGAAGCAACAGAAAGAGCATCCTCTTTACCCGACGGAGAAGACGAATCGTCATCGGTGCGTATACGTTTCCCGAGAATGAAAGGAGAAGGAGAGAGAAGCGGTTTATGGTCGAGCGAAGTGGAGGAAGGAGAGGGGAGAGAATTGTTGGAGCCACGGAGGGAAACGGAGAGAGATGAGAAACTCGCCGGAGTGGTGCCAGTTCCGGTGGCGGCGATGATGGAAGGTTCGGCTTGACGGAGGAGCCATTCGATGGTTTGACCATCGGATTTGTGACCTAATTCGCGCGTGAGTTGGAAGACGCGTGCGGCGCAAATGATTGGCATGCGAATACGGCGGCCTCGGCCGTCAACTTTACTGTGACGGTCTTTTGACGGCGGTTTCTTGACGGTGAGTGAGGCGTTAGTGGTAGTTGGAGTTCCGTCGGTGTTAGACATGGTTGAGGGGGTGGGTTTAGGGTAAGGGGGGGTGGTAGTAGTAGTAGATGTTGATGATGAATTAATGTTGTGAACAAGAGGTTGATGGAGTTGAGTGAGTGAGTGATAGAGAAAGAGGGAACAGAGGTCTAATGATTGAGCGGCAGGAGCTGGTGGAGACAGGAAGAAGGCACATGGGTGGTGGGATCCACTTTTTTCCCTCTACTATCTACTCTATGTATCATATCATTCATTCCCACGCGCTTTCTTCATCAAATTTGTCTATTCACTCCGCTTCATAAAAAATTCAATCTTTTCATTGTTGATGTAAACATTTCTAGTGTAAATTTTGTAAGTCCTAGAGTCACTTGCTTTAACCTCGATGAATATTAAGAATTCAATTCATTCCTTATCCTAGTCTAGTTTTGTTTGATGTTATTGATGACATGCATTACATATAACATTGAGTATAATGGTTCCATTCTTCGTTTTCTCTATTCAAATAAAATTTGATATTAACGCCTCTTTGTGTAATAGAGATATGGATAAGTATTTACTTTCAAGAATTAGAAATGTGGAGAGTATAGTTAGTTCATATTATGTTACATAGCGGTGATTAACTACAACAGTTGATATTTTCTCCTATGATTTTTATATAAAAAAATCATCTGTATTGAAAATGAAAAGAAAAGGAAGATAAAAAAAGAAAATAGGGATTAGGCCAAAACTCTAATTAGAGCAACAACAAAGGTCTTAACAAAAATTTAGTAGAAACGAAATTTGAGAAGATCCAGCCTATTTTCAACTAAACAGAACCTAATGAAGATTAGAGGTCTATCCCACCAAGTGAAATAATTGGTTGACAAACTTAAAAAAACAAATTTATTAGCACAATAATTTCCTTCTCTATAAATATGATAAACAAATTAAATGCATGTCTTTAGTAAACAACAAACAATTCATCCATTTGTTATGAATTTGTCAATGAATTATGTTGTGATTGTTAAGGCAAAAATAGCAATAGGAGACTCTAATTGAGGAACCTCCAATGTCTAAAATGAGCATTTTCAATGGCAGGGATGATGATCACGAGTTCTGCTGTAATACGGTGAGAGAACTGACTTGAGTGTTTTGTATTTGATCGTAATTGTTGCGGATAGCAAGAGTCGCCACCGACTTTTCTTTCATCTAATAAAAGAAAGGGTGAAAAGAATAGAAAAGACCTTTCGAGATTATTTCTTGAGTTCGGGGGGTAGGTTATGAAAAGGGAAGATGTTAGCACTATTTTCATCCGTAGTTATCTACGAAGTCTTAGTTGCTTGCTAGATCACTTGTTTTTTGTTTAAAAGTGTGTTTATAATGTGGATTTCAAAAGTATTTTGAAAAGGAATATCTTTGTAATGGTTCTCGTCTCTATAAGAACACGTACAAAGTGTTTTAACTTTTGAAAATGTTTCAAAGTGAAATTGTAGGTGTATAAAAATGTTTTTTTATTGTGAGCAAGCGAGCAACCAGGAGCAACCTACCTACTCAAAAGGTCTTAAACGATTTTTCCTCCTCCTTTATATGTTGTTATCTTACCATTGTTTTGGTAAGAAATTCCATCATTGGATGTGAAGGGACGGGCGCAGGACGTTTTGTATAGTCATAGAAGGCAACCTATGAAACGTTTTAGCAATGTTGTTTAGGGACTGAATCATTTATCGAAGGCAAAATTGAGGGTCATCGAGGGACTACGATATTTTATCGAGGGTCTTTGCTAAAACGCCCATATTCGAGGGACATGACTATTTTCCGAAAGGCAACAAAGTGAGATTATCCTAGAGGTGGTAGTGTGCAAGTGTGTCTGATTGCATGCATTTTGTCTTGCATTTAAAGATTATCTACTTGTTGATTTTTGTCTTACCATACATCCTAATTACTAATAATGCATGAAAGCAATAAAAAAATAAATCCTAAGCTATTACATCCTGTTGTACCCTAAAATTTGCCATCTCATTTTACTCAATACATGTCCATTGAGATCTTCAATTTGCTCAAGGTTGCCCAAGAGTGGACCAGACAAACTCTCTCCTAAGGCAACATACCTCAAATTAAGGTTTCCATTTTCATCAAGATAGGTGAACCACAAAGGCCTCATAGGCTCTCCATGGTCTTAATATATTCTCAAGACCCTACATGTCAAGTTTCATGCATTGCACAAGAAATTTGCTTAGTCAACTGCTCATATGCTTGAGAATCGACTATATTAGGTCAAAAGTCAACAGTGACCCACTTACAGTTAAACTTCAATATTTTTGGTCAACATTAACATTTTGAAGTGAATTTCATTATTTGATCAAGGGTTGACCATGATTCCCCAAGGAATGCTCCAAATTCATCAAAACCCAAAAGTTACTAAATTAGGGTTTCTTAGTAAAAGTCAACCAAACATTTACCAAGCATAACTTCCACATGCTTTATCAAAAATTTTCCATCCAAAGCTCATTTTGAAGAGGATGCAATTCCCTACAATTAATCTTCATCTCACAAGTTCAAAATATGCACTCATAAAAATATATGAATTTCTACATTATGGGTCCTTTTGAAAAGTCAACAAAAACACATTTTGGGTCAAAGCTCCTTACATGAACATGGAAGACTCAATTGAGATGAAACCAAAAGGGTTGCTTAGGGGACATCCTAGATTTTTAAAAAGTCCAAGAACACCTATCTAGGGTTAAAATTGGAGGAGATATGCCTTGTCAAAGTTGACCCTTTTTGCAAAATTGCCAAAAGTCAAATGTGCTCAAAAATGCATTTTTTGCTAAATGGACCTAACTTTTTATGCTTGCACCTCACTTATAATGTGGTCCACGACCCAAATACTCTTCCACACATTATTTGCTTCAATTTTCAATTTATTTTGATTTTTTATTAATTAAAAATTAAATTAAATCAAATAATTTATGAATAATAGCAAATATATGATTTGGTTTGGTTTTTGGACAGGTTGGAAATTAAAATATGCTGAATTATCAAGGCCAAAACGAATCAAGCATAATTGGTACAAGAAATGAATGATTTGGCTCAAAATAGCAAGTTTACATAAGCTTGAAAATCAAATCAAATCTCTCATAATTGCTAAGATTCAATCCAAGTTTGTAACCCTAATTCATCCCTTGATATATATTGGACGTATACAAAGCATGGCATAAGGGTTAGCAGTCGTGAAAACACCAAACAAAATTCCAAAAAAGTGACAAAAAGTGTTGGATCATTTTTGGACTTAAGAGATCAATTCAAGCTATTCCAACGCTTCTAATCGTTTCTTGGACCTTCCCAGAAGCCAATTGGATCATTTGCAAGGCTTGAAACACCCAGAAACGCGCACAATCACTCTCACGGTTTGCCCTTTATTTCAAAATTGATTATTAAATTTCTTGCATCATTATCATGTTTAAGTTACATATTTGTGATCCTCGTCGTGTTTGCAAGCTGACTGAATGATTTAATTTCACTTTTGAAGCATATACGTGCCTTTGCCATTGTTAGGGTTTGCGTGTGCAATTTAGGGCTTTCTTACACAGGTTAAATTAGCCAGCAATAAGGGTACCATGATGTTCACAAGATCAAAACGAGTTGATCTATATAGTTAGATTTCATTTATCTTGCGTTTTGTGGATTTTTGAGTTTCACAGGTTTGTAGCTACAAACCTTTGTCTGTAGGTAAAAGTACCAGAGCCTAAAACGAAGGATGAGGAAGAAGAAGATAACGTGTCCAGTCACCATTGGACTATTTGAAAACCAGCGCGCATTTTTTTCTTTTATTCATTAATCCATTTGATTTTATATAATATTATTTGTTTTTATTATACTAACAAACAAGCAAGACAACTCAGATGGTGAAGCGCTTTAGTGGGGAGTACAAGGACCTGGGTTCGATCCCAGGTCCCAACAAATTTTCTTTATTTCATTTTCTTTCAACAGATCCAGTGCATTGTCATCCTACATGCCCACGATACTCCACCAATGTCTAGCCAATGGATTCATCATCCATTCAATTTAACACACAGGCAGTGAGGGAGTATGATACACCCCCAAGTTAACGCTACAAGGAATCCAAGGCTGACTGGGCTTGGAGCATTTCGGGCCTTAGAAAATTCAGATTGGCACCCCCAGATTTACTCATTACACATGCCCAGTTTACTTATCTTTTCTATTTTCTTTTTAATTTCTTTAATTAATTTCTTTTATTTGTTTTAATTAATTAACCCAAAAATCATTTTCTTTTTTTTAAAATTAAAAATCACAACAAACTACAAAAATCTTTTTTTTTTAATAAAAAAATACTTTATTTCTTAATTAATTTAGTTTAATTGACTTAGGGAAATTTAATCTCTTTTTATAGTTAAAAATAATTAGACTTAGGATTTGAATTATACATAATTTAATTAATTTTCTTTAAAAATACACCAAAATCTTTTTTTTATTAAAATATTTATTTTAATTAATTAGGTTAATTAGGTTAACTTAAATACTCTTTTTCATAATTAAAAAGCAATTAGAAATTAAGGTTTCATTCAAATTGCAATTTCATTGTTTTCTCCAATAAAAATGTACAAAAATCTTTTTTCTTTCAATTAGGGTTTAGTTTATTTTTCAACATCCCTCACATTTGATTTACCGCGTGCATTTTTATTTGTTTTATTATTAATGTAACTGTTTCGAGCTTGTAATAGTTTTAATTAGGGTTTTAAATTCTGCACTTTTATTTCCCGTCAAGATAATTATGTAACTGTCAAAGTCTTGTAATAGATAGGTTTATTTTCTCGCACTTTCAAATTCCGGCAAATATTTAACTGTCTAGATGTATGCTAATAGGATTGTATGGCAAGAATGGCTGGAAATTTAAAACGGTAGATCACCTAATGTGCAAAGATTAAATAACTGAAACAACTCATATGCACATATTCACTCCTAGGGTTTACCTCACTTCGGTTGCCTTTAGTAAACAATCATCAAGCATAAGAGGTTTTAGT